TCTTTGCTAGTTACTAGTTCCAACGGCCGTCCGGCATCTATTTTCTTTTCATCACGGTCGTTTGTGTTGATAATATAGCTATGCATGAATGGAAACGCTACTCGACTGATGATGATTTTTTAGATTCTCGTTTCAGGCCCCTGGTTTTTTTTTTTTTTGAATCTCAAAAAAAAGAAAAAAAAGATGAATAAAACTGTCAGCCAGCGCATGAATTTGCGTTGATCTGATTTTTCCTTTTAGAAGGCAGTTGTCCAGTCTGGTTTTCGTTTTCAAGGCGAAATTGTTCAGTTTTGTTATACTCTTTGTACACTTTCGGAAAAAGCTGATGCTAGAATCTATATCTGACAAGAAAGGTGACATCAGTAGCATTCTCATCTTTTTGGAATTGACCGTGTTTTACTTGATTTTTAAAAGTATTTTCGGATTTCGGTCGCTGCAATACGCCTCATAGTTCGTAATTGTAAACGTAATATACAGAAATGAGAGTCATAAATCAGTTCTGATCTTCTGATATTTCTCCTATTTATTAGACCGAGCCGTCCTTGAGAAGACTTTTTCTCGTTTCGTTAACAAAGGTTCTTTTTTTTGTAATTGATATGACAGCCGTATAATTTAGTTAAGATAGCTGGACAAATCACGTAAGGTATACCCTCTCGGTTTGATGATTTGTATTAAATAGAACAAAAAGATGTAAAAAAATGTTCAAGATTCTCTAAAAACTTTATGATATATTTTAATGGCATAAAGCGTTAAATGTAGACTTTTCCCTTGTTAGTTTGACGCCTTAGGGGGAGAACAGATGTACTATTAATGTCACCATGTTTGGTAAATTAATGACAATATCCTTAATTATCGTGCCGACGGTCTGTCGTCGTTGCTGATAATTCTTTTATCTCAAAATTACATCACAAGTGATGATCAATGGTGTCTTACCAGAGACTTAGGCTACTCGCAATTTTGTCACTCATAGTTTCGTTAAGTTTTGAGTTTTTTTAAAAATCCCTACGCGCTGGTTTTTTTTAAATTTTGTGTCATAATTAGCCATGGTTGCTGTAGTTAACGGTTAGATATAAAGTATACTAGTGTTATAAAGTATTGATAAATTAAAACTGGATTTTTCTTCATTCCCTATCATGCTCGTGTTTCTATTCTGGATAATCACAGTCTAATACTTAAACGATGCTCCAACCGAGAGCTTGGTGAAATCTAAGAGTATAAGAGTTCATTATAAATTGAAAATTTGATTTTGCTTATTTTCAGCATGCTCTTCAGATTGCATCATTAAATTGACGATTTAGAATCAAGTATTTGAATGTTCCTGATTTATAGAGGGAAGGGGCAATCGCCTTTCATCAGATAATGATGAAGGATAGTGATAATCCTGATGAAGAATTCATTCATCAACGAAAATGATTTTAAGTTTAAATAACTGACATGGTGGGATCTGGGGAAAGAATTCAGTCGAGCTGCATCAACCCACCTGCGTTTCACAAAATTGTAAGAAGAAAAATGGTGGATTACGAAATAAATGCTGCGCAAATAGTGGTGCAAGTTGCAAGTTTGTTCTTGATGTATTCCTCAGTTCTTTGTGTATGTCTTCACTTAAATGGGATTCCCGTTAGCATCGAATGTAGTAATGCCACTGAGAGCCACGCATAACGAATCAACAAAACACCCAGTGCATTTTAGTAAGCCATCACAACTTTACCTTTGATTCTTGCTTCAAGGAACGTTTCTGTTTTTTACCAAAACCATCAACTTAGGAGACTAAAGGGTTCAATTGACTTGACTAGTTGCATACTTTCGGTAAGATTAAGGATGAATCCCTTGGGAAAAAAAGTCGTATTTAGAAAAGCAAACAAAATTATTGAAAAGGCGCATTACACTCTTATCTGCTAATGAGGGGTTTAACAAAGGCGCGAAAATCAGGAATACCTTCTTTTATTTCAATATCGTTTTTGAGTACCAAATATCGTTTTGATAGCTAATGTTTGCGACCAGAGGTACGATTCTGGCCAATTTTTTCTCTCATAGGAGAACGCAACATTGGCTCAGTGGCTAGTTTCTTGAAATCAACTTCCCAAGTCGGCTTCCTTTGAGACGCCAATGACAAAGCCTAGTAATTGACATACTCATTAAGAATTCCCTATGTATGCCGTCCGCCTACCGCTTTTCTTTCCAAATTGTTTATATTTTAACCGTTGTATTATGATTATGAGTTAAAAGATGTTTAAATTTTTTAAGTGTAAATTACTTGAACTGGATGCATCTTCCCATCAGGTCTCGACTGAGAAGTACAAAGTTTCTCTCCTCTTTTTCGACTCAATTTTTTTCTATCTATTTTTAAAAATTCTTCTGCAGGTTTCTGTTCTCAATAGTTGTCCAGATTGATTAGGTTTAATTAAGCCCTCCAAGTTCTATATATTTTATGTATTTATTTTCTTTAGCATTAAGGATAAAATCTCGTAAATGAGCAAAAGCAATTGTTTTAGTAAAGGAAAATATCGGAAAAGTTTGTTGAAACTGAAAAATTCAACGTTACTCTTTGGCTTTAGATTTGAGTTTGGAATTATTTACTCGAGTTCTTCTCACGTCCATCCTACCCTATAGAATTGTGTTTTTAACAAATTTTTTAAACAGAGACAGTATTTAAGTGTTAATACTAAAACTACCTGGTACTCTTTGAAAGTAAGGAATGTATTTTTATTCGACGTAGTGTATGGCCTCTCGGAGTGAAAATGCAAGTCCCAAGGACTTTCTAAGACTTATTTTCAAACCTTTCCATCCTTAAAGAAAACTCAAACGCGTCGGTCTTAAAGATTTCCTTTTCTTAAGTTTGACGTAAAATCTGGTCCTTAAAAGATTCTTCTTCGAAAAAATTTGAAACATTGGCAAAAGATAATTATTTTATCAGTTCTTAAAATGTAAGCAGCTACTGACGATCCAATACAATGAAAACAAGCTACAAGTTTCTGTTTTTGTGTTCATAGGTGTGGTCTGTAAAATTTCTTCAGGTGTGAAAAGATTGATCCAAATTAACAATGTAAATGGTAACAAGTATATTGGAAATAAGCATTTCTAACTGGCACGACCAACTGATTAATTCGTTGTTGCTATTAGTTTCTGTTTTTTTTATTCTTTCAATTTAATTCTACTTGGAACATTTTGTCGTTTATATACCTAGTTCTTTACTAAGTTAAGTGGCTGCGTGAATGGTATCAGCGAAATAAGAAAATGAGAGTGTGAATTGTGTCAAAAACAGAATGTCGACCAGCCAATCAATATTTTAAGATCAAAAAAGTTTTAATATTCCAAGAGGGGTGTTTTCTCGCACTGATGATGATGCGCAGCACAATTTTGTCATTGTCATTAATAAACTTCATGTTCAACCCTGTTTTAAGCTCAGTTTTAATTTTGCTCAAGATGTACATGGAGATTAATTTAAAAGAACATAAATTAACATGATAGAGTTAGTTGGCCTTCCCAATGGATTTCTAATTTTTTTTCGTCCTGGGGACATGAAAACGAGTCTGGCAGACCACCTATGCAACTGTACTCTCCCTGAATTATTGTGGTTGGCTGCTTTGGCTTATGAAAAGCATAATTAGCCTATGAGTATGCTTTCGCAAAATAATGACAAACTGAACTCGCTGGCCAGCGAAGAAATTGTGACATTATTAGCTTTTTGAGAAAGAATGAAGTATTTTCTTTCCTCAAAGAAATATTTGTATTAGTTATAGCGAGGCTACATCACAGAAGACTAAAACTAAAGGCGAGTTAAACATAATTAAAAAATAACCCTGTTTTCTTTTTTTCAATTTATTAAGATTAATCTTGTATGGAGCTGATATTGCACTGAATAAAATATGTCCCAGGTCATTTATGCTAAAGGGATATTTAATTTTATTTCTTTAGTGAAGAAGCAACCACTATTCATTCAAATTTAAAGGTAAATATTCTAACTGGGTGTTATTGGCAAACTCAGCACGACACGAACAGTAGTCTATTTCGTATCTAATAGCTTAAAATACCTGTGAATAGGCAAACAGGAAAGTTTCTCCATATTACATTAAATATTCTTTCTTAAATGAGTGCTGAATGAAGAACAAGAAATGATTGTCAGCTGATAGGAGATTAGAAGATTAGCTACATACTGCATGATTTTCTTAAAGTCGTATTTTTCGTTGCCCGTACTCAGGAACTACATTTTTTTTCAAAATTCCAGAAAAAAAAATCGAAACGTGTTTAATGGTGTGGTGTGAAGTATGTTTATAATAATGCTTTTATGATAATGCCTCTGTGAACACAGTCCGATAAAGGGAAGGAAGCTGGTTGTTATTAATAATTCACAATTTTTGGTTTTGCAGGGAGAATCAGGCTAAACTCCGTTCATTCCCGACACTATTTTGCATCCACTTCACCTGCGGTTCCAAAGAAACGTTCAAGCTGACTTCTCAAAGAACCTTAGAAATCAACGAACCATGGTGATCCCAAAATCATTCATCTCTCTGTATCCAATCCTGATTATCTTAGGTGAGGAAAACTTTCTAGTTATTTCGAGTGTTGAAGAACAGATGCCTGTGAAACTTTCACAAGTCATGATTGCCTGTCTACTTTTATTCCCCTCTGATGGGCACACGAAACTACGATAATACTGAGTTACGTTTTTCTTTTTCTTGACCTCCAATCTACCGAAAAAAACTTTCTCAAAGGTGTAGCAAATCTCATTTTTTTTAACCAAGAAAATTTATCTTTCAATGTTATTCAGCGACGTTTATACGTAGCAAATAAGAAAACTGGATGAGCGCATCACCACAAGGATGCAAGCACATACAAATATTTTGATTGTGGTTTATATCGTAATGTTAAACTAAATGAAAATTTACTTTCCTTTTGTAGAATAATAAGGATTCCGTGTCTTTCGTGTGGTGTTGCCCGAAATTTCAAAAGAAAATTTAGACACGTTCTCGAAGTTTATTAGAAATTGTTTTGCAGCATTCAGTTCCCTTCGCTGATGTGTCAAGATATTATCGATTCCATCTTCGACACATTACTATAATCAAACAATAGCGACGTTGGAGGCGAATGACAGAAGCACGGAGTAAATGAAACAGTTTATCCTTATATATGAAGATGAAACCGGCAGCAGAGGAGTTTTGCGTAAATCAAAGGTGTTCGCAATCGTCTTTCAAGGTGTATCTCAAATGATTTATCTATAAAATCAGTTCGGCTACTGGATTTCTGAATTTTATTCTGCCAGACTTGTTACAGTATGAATAATTAATTTCTGGAATGGATTGAAATTCAATTCAAAACATCCTTTCGTTGGTCGATCAAACAAAAGTTGAAATAGCGATTCGGCGTTACTTCTAGAATGTTTTGTAAACTTGATAGCATGAAGAAAAAGATAACGAATATATTTTGTTTTCCTAGTAATGAAATCAGTCTAATGCTTTGAGGAAGCTTAACGACATTTTTGCCCGCTTCGTCTATGGGGGTTCTATTTTGGCTACAGTGGTTCTGCCGTTGTCAAAATCTTATCAGTTAACTTCCTTATCGCAAGAAAGCTCGCTTAATTTTTTTTTTATGTATAAAAAGCCCCTTTAAGATTAAAGCAGTCCGAATATTGTTGCTTTAGTAATTTCATTTGCAGTTCCCACTGTTTTTATAGCGCATTTTCCTCGTTCCTTGGCCAAAATATTGGCGATCACACAAACTATGACAAGCTCTGTATTGCATGAAATTTTGCTGAATAACTAACCGTCGTATAAGAGTCTTATACGAATCTTTCGTGCACCATTTGCGAATGCATCCAAAGTGAAATAATGTGTGATGTTAGATTTTATTCGGTTCCAAAATATGTTTCCCGTGCCTTCTTTCTCGTTTTCAGGTTCGATATGAATCGCGCTATCAAGAAACCGAACTGTAATTAAAACATAAAGGTGTTTAAATGATTCAACTGTTTATGATGTAAATGATAATTCTCATGCAAGTTTCAAATTTTGAGACAAACAAAACTGCTGGAGGGAAGTCGCATAAGCACAAAAATCCCTCGACCTTAAAGGCAAACAAAGCGGGAGTGCACTAATTTAAAAGTAGAGAAAGTTAACTGAGGATATATAATTCCCTGTAAATGCTCTACGGAATCGTTTTCCCTAACGTTATGATAATTTTTTTTTCAAACTAGGAAAAGGATTGTCTGAGCAAGCTTTCAATGCCAGCGTGAACGAATCCCATCCCATTATCAGTGATGGTAAGTGATACCCACTCGTAAGCGGTAATATCAACAGACTTTAGCAGATGACAACGAAAAGCGAGAGATACACGGCTAAGTGCACAGAAGGCTGGAGATCTGTGTAAGCTCTTTCTCCTCTCTTTGGGAAGCTGGCAGTTTTTACGACTATCTAATTTAGCGCAGCAATGTCTTCAGAGTCGTGTGCTACAACCTTACTTGCTGTATAAGGTATCGTTGGTTGCTTGTTATTATTGCACTTAAGGTAAGAGAAACAATTTTTTTTGTCGTTTGTTGATGTCAATTATTTCCCTTTCATTAATCAGAATTAGAAGTGGATGACGACGAAGCACGACTTGTGAAAGATCTATTCAAGGGCTACAACGAGACTGTCCGTCCAACAGAAGATAAGCAGTTGCCCATTGAAGTAAAATTTGGTATTGCATACACACAGATTGTTGACCTGGTATGTTTTTTGAAGAATGATATTTTCAAAGCCCAAGCTCCTAGTTACATTGAAAGAGTGCGATATAACTGCCAATCAAATTTGCCATCACGGAAGCATATGAGTTGAATTTGCTTGTTTGTGTTTCTCTAAGCTATACAATTTACCTTCTTTTACTTTTTGCGTCATATCCATTTTCTCTGAAAAAAGTGGACGAAGAGCCAACTTTTGGATGTGAAATCCAAGTTTTATTGTTCTTTCTTTTTATTTTTTTTATACTAATTATAAGACAACTGAAGACAGTTATCTATTTTCGAAAATAAAGTCGAAAAACACGATTTCTTTTGTTTTGTCAAAAACCTAACAGATCGAGAAAGATCAAGTGCTTGTAAGCAACATCTGGGTCAGAATGGTAAGTAACCACTCTTGCACTCTATACCAGACTGAAGAAATGAAAGCGGACTGAATAGCTTGTAAAACTACATCTTCCGTAGTTTTCCACTTTAGGTTACACTGGTGAATTTGGTTCTTTCCAAAGCTGTTGCTTCATTACTACCTTCATCATACTCTTTTACTTTCATCACTTAGGATCATCTCTGTTACAGTGAATACCAAAATATGAAGGCGAAGTGAGGATCACCGTTTTTTTTTTTCCCGAGTATTCCAACAATTTTTTTACATAAAGCACGTACTTGTAGCTGTTATATTAAAAAAGCTTGTATTACCCAAAAAAGTTCTTTGATCTATCGTAGACCTGTTGACCAGTTTTATAATCCTTGAATACATTTTAGTTCTAATTATGTTACTTTTAGGGATCCGGGATCGAGGGCCACCAGTTCATCAGTTTCCATTAATTACTATTAAATGTTACCCTTCACAAAGAAAGTTGTTATTATTATATTATTAATATTATTATTATAACTATATTATCATTATTAAACACCAGGCATGGAACAACCATCTTCTAAAATGGAACGCTTCTGAGTACGGAGGAATAAAAACAATTAACCTGAGTCCACATAAGGTCTGGCTTCCCGACATTGTCCTTCACAATAAGTAAGTCATAGTAAAATGATAAGATAGAAAAAGAAATGGTCGAGTTGAAAAAGCCACCAGTCACTTTTTACTGGAGAGGATTTTCAAATAACCTATAGAGGATCTTTATCTTTGTATATTTCCCAAGCGGAAAATTGCCACCGTTTTGCAGAACATTAGAAAAATGAGGGATTGTTGCGTATTGCAAAGAATTAATTCAAAAAGGTGAAATTTTTGTGACTTTTTAGAGATTGCCTTACTAGCTGCTTATACCTTATAGGTATATAACCTCAAATTGAATGCATTTTCACTCCAGACATGGCCAGTATCTACATGTTTTATGAATAGGTAGGACAGAATCCACGCAACAATTCTTTCTCAACCGAGAGTCTAGCCAAACATCATTAATAAAGACTTCCGGAGAAAAACATGCGAGTTCAATTAAAAACCTATCGGTTATCATATGTTAGCGGCCATAAACTGCAACCAATAAACACATAATGGCTCACTTTAAGAAAATATTTTTCGTCAGTGCGGAGGAATTGCTTCCAAGTGGAACTCTATACCTCTTTAAAACCAAAGTGATCTTGACTTCAGACGGATCATGTACGTGGTACGCCCCAACTATACTTCGCAGTAGTTGCAACATCGACATCACTTACTTCCCGTTTGACGACCAGATTTGTGAGCTTAAATTCGGTTCCTGGACATACCACGGACTTGAAGTGAACATTGTTCAAATGCGAGATACAGCAGACCTTAATTTCTACATGCAGAGTTCCGAGTTTGAGCTTATCTCTGCCAAGGCTAAGAGAAACGTAGCCAAGTACAGGTAAATTTTTCACCAAACAATAGCCTCAAACTATTAATGGCTAATGTAGAACTTTTATTTTTGATAAATCGGGGTAGACCCCCTTCTGATTTCTCTTCTTGCAAGTAACAAGCTTACTTGTAGAAAAGGAAATTACAATCTTTTATGCAAGACTTTGTTCAGTCGGCGTAACACTGGACGTGATAGAAAATTGGAAAGAGGGGGCAAGTTTCTACCATGGCTGGGGGTAAAACAAGATAAATTGGTTTCACAAACTTAATTTGTAAAAGTAAATTGGCCACCGTAAAGGGCATCTAAAAGCTGAAGTCATCTGACACTCGAAACGTCAGCTTAACAAACTCTTTACTGTTGCCAATTTAATAACTTAAGTCGGTTCATAAAACAATTTTATGATGATAAAATTGGTTTGGTCATCATAAAGGTTTTTCATGAAGGAAGTAGAGAAAGGCGAAACAAGAATTAACGATCCTGGTTGAATGGTAAATCTGTGATTCAAATTGGTTTCCAAATTTATAAGAAGTCCTCTGTATCTATGTTCTATAGAGGCATGTTTCTATCCAGCTGTAATTCGCACAGGTAATATATCACAGCTCATATCGAACACACGTCAAACTCGTAATAGTTGCATTAATAAGACGGGACAAAAACGAATCACGATAACCTAAACTGATGTTATATACAGAAACCAACAATCGGGTTGTGATCTCCAATAATAACAGCAGCATACGATGTGTTTCGGCCTCTGGGACTGGAATTTCCTTTTTAGTGATACATTAAAATCATTTTAAGTTTGCAAAATATTTCTTTCCGAATCTCATAGACTGCATTTTTTTTAAAATAATATTAAATCAATTTTCTCCTTTGTTAAAACGAGCTTGAAGAATGCATAAAACAGGGTTTTTGACTTGTGAGACCTCACTTGCACTTCTTGCACTCATTAGAGCTGGCAGGTAAATTAGTCTATGGTGCTGGTCAAATTTTAAATGAATAAGTCTTGAATTTATATGAACGATGCAAGTCGTATAACAAAGCATGCAAGTCCACCGAGCACGTTGCACATGGCATCAAGATCCTACTGTAATATTGTGTTCTATTACACGCAGCTGCTGCCCGGAGCCTTATCCAGATGTGACATTCTTCCTTCATCTTCGTCGTAAGCCTGGTTTTTTCCTCTACAATATCATCATTCCCTGCTTGGTGATAACCTCACTAGCTGTGCTGACATTTGTCCTCCCACCAGAGATCGGTGAGCGAGTGACTCTGGTAATTGAATCTTTCTTAGCTCTGTCATTCGTCGTTCTAATGGTTTCTGATAGCGTTCCTGTTACCTCCGACAACGCTCCTCTCATCACAAAGTTTCTGATTATTTCCATGTGCCAGATAGGGGGTGCTCTGATCGCAAACTGCATTTCACTGAACCTCTACAGAAAGTACAGGATGCCCCAATGGGTGAGAGTGGTTTTTCTCCACTACTTAGCCCGATGTTTGTGCATTAATTCGGGCCAACCGAAGGACAAAATTGAAAAACCTTCACATCTTGTGAAAGGTCGACCAGCGGAACTGACGGTTCTCGAGGACAGAAAACTCTCGGGAACAAAACCCCTGGGATCACCGGGTGGACACTCCTTAAAATCTCCGACTCATCATCACACAGCTCTCTTTCGATCAACCCAGGACCTTCCTTCAAAGGTTACAGATGGACTCGCGGAGCTTGCACAGTCTGAAATCAACCATGAAGAACACCGTGCCAATCGTCAATTCTGGATTTTCGTGTCACGAGTTGTAGACCGCGTTTTCCTGCTAATATTTTCCATAGCGTTCGTCTGTTCTTCGTGTGCAATATTTGCTCAAGTGCCAGATCACTATAATTTACTCTTGTAGGATCGTAGCTAACCGCGATTGTGGTTTCCAGTAAGAGGACTAAGCAAGAAACTTATATTATAGGGTCAGAACTGAGTCATTAATCTTTGATTTCTGTGAAATTGAGAGTTTCTCTGAACGACGGACAATGCAAAGTGTCATCGATTATGACTTACGAGTTTACGTTTTGCTTAGTAAGATAATTGATATGAATCTTGGAAATTGGCCTCAGAGCAATAAACAAAAAAAAGAAATATGTAACCTTACACGAATAAGGGCTTTCCTACCCAGGAGAAACAAGATTGTATGATTGTAGCGTTTTAAAAAACGTACTAAGTTCGTCGTTTTCTAATGCAAAACAATTATGAATAATGGAGTCTTTCAATCGAACATGGAAGAATGTTATTTTTAAATCTCTGATTGAACACATAATCTTTTCGTTGTTTGGCTAGAGCCGCTACATCTTGTGATACAGTAAGTTGCATTTACCCCTGAAACATCATGCATTACTGTAGGATTTGTATGAACAGAATGTTTTATAGGGCAGAGGACCATTAAAAGTGGTCAGAAACAGTTTCACTAGTTCATCAGCTCCCACTTCCTTGAATCTCGAAATAATTTGCTCTTTGAGTCTTCTGCTGAGTGTTGTAGGATGTCAATTTTTCAAAAACAACCGTCAACATGGATGAATAGAATAATTTTTTTGGTTAGACCTAAAACAATGAAAATAAAGGAACATTCATCGACAGGAGTGTTTCAACTTTTATACTATTTTTTATCAAAACAAATTTCAGATTTACGAGAAAACTTTCTACCTTTGCATTATTTTTATCATCATCTCAGCGTGGAGTCATAGGAAAGTATTTTTCCCCTCCCCA